CTTGGATTCATGTAGGAGTCTTCTAATGTCAGCCACGAGCATTGGCCATTCCTTCTCCTCGGTGCAGATATCAGCTAGTTCTTTGTTGTCTGTTTCGAATTCAACCTGCATGTAATCTTTTGAGGCTGAGAATGGCCCATCGTAATGCATCTGCTTCTGCCTGAATAACTGAGCTGAGTCTCGCCATCCGTTTAGCTCCTATCCAGAGAACTTCCCCTCTTTGGTCTCTTAATATCCACCCTCCTCCACAGCTATCCCGCTGCTCTGTCCAGCTACAATCACTATTGCACTTTACCCACTGTGGTTTCGGTGGTTTCCACTTTACTGCTTGACCAACCAGAGTATTTGTTACCACTTTTTCTTTTGCCTCCATTTTTTCAACCCATTCCTCCATGTCTTCCTGGGCTCTTCTGACTGTGACTAGGGGATCAATATTCATACCTCTAAAGATCATCTCATTTCTTGCTTTCCATGGTCGCCACAGGATTCTTAAACATGCTCTTACCGCTATTTATCCAAAAAAAGAAGAAATTCTTAAATACCATTGCTCTTAATGCACATCTATAAAAATTGACTATTCAAAATGGACTATAAAGTCCAAAAACTAATATTCTTTAGCCCAAAAAGTCCACATACGCATATGGGCCAAGAACGTTACTCATTTTGCTTCTGTGTGATTGATTCTTTGTATAATGCCGCAAGTCACACAAGAACAGATCGTATATCACTTTGTAACTATTAGAATTGGTGAAGCTGAAGCATAAACACTTTTTGAGTAGTTTTGTTTTAGGAGAATAACTTTTCTAACCTAAAATCTTTACTACTATCTCAACTGAATAAATGCTCAATCAACTCAAATATTCTACAAAATGAGGCTCAAAGTTTTGTCGAAACTTCAATTTCCGATACTCTCTTTATTCTCTTCTCCATTGGAATCCAATTCTTTAACACCACTGAATMCAAGTTCAGACATATCCTGCTTTGCCATCAAGTTCCTGCATAACCAAATCGGTCTCTCATGATCTAAACCAATCCAACGTTTCTCGGCATATATATTTTCTTCTTATGTGAATGGTGACAGAGAGTAAAAGAACTCACTTGGCCATTCGACACTCGAGATATTTCTTTGAGAGATGTCTACATTGCTCAGATTTGTGAGCTGAAGACTTGAGACAACCAAGATATTCTTTCTTCTCCTGAAAAAAAAAAACAACGGTTCGGCCATTATGAATAACTGAAAGATAACTCAACATATATGCTAAAATCAAGAGAAAACCGTTGTTGAAGTATACCGCATCACATTCGTGTAAATGATCCAAAGGGAAAATGCCCTTTTCCGGTGGTATCGGTCTCAATCCTCTGTTTCCTCCAAATGTTCCACCTGCAACAATAAAATCAACAGCAGCGTGTAACGAGTTAGATCGAGCTTTAGGAGGTCTACGCTGGATTTTCCTTTGGTGCAAAATGATATTCTTGAAACTTACATTTACATGTCTATGTGGGAAACAATAGTGAACAAGGTACTATTTGATCAAACACAACATTAGATATAACATTTTTTTGTGACATTAAACCATAAATCTAGGGTTTTGGGTTTTATTAATCAAACTGAACATAAGCAAACTGAACACAGTTATCTTGTCTCCAACAATACAAGAACCGCAGATTAACTCGAGGAACTAATTAATACATACAATTGCAAGTGATAATCAACAAGCAGTTGATTGGTTCGAAAAGCTCAAGGAGTTTATATAAATTGGCCAAGAATTAACCAAATCAAAGGCGAACCAAACCTTACTATATTCAACTCTTTAAACTCAAGAGAAATCAAAATCAAGAAATAAAAATAAATAACGAGTAGAGGAGAAGAGACGAACCTGTACTCATAACGAAACTTGAGATTCGCCTGTGTCTCTTGATCGGTTTTGATGCTGAAATGTCAATAAAGAAAGGATCAATTGCTTAAAAGCTTTACGCATCTCTCAATTGCTAAAGTCAGGCCCAAAAACGGCCCATATCTTATTAATGGAGTTTTTCTGTTGTCACTTGATCCATTTTATGAGTAGATCGTGTAGATTTCATTTCAATTCTTCTTCAGTCAAATACAATTACTTATCAGTGTCTTCATTTTTTAGCAATCTTTGTTTAGCTACTTGTATCAAAAGGGAATGTGAAATAAATCTTGTAACATATTTGTGAGTTAGT